TCTTAAGTGGGATTTAGTAATCATGATTTCAGCGCTCTCGCAGCTAGCTTTTTCAAGGACCGATACGTTTTAGACATGGTGATACCATTCAGTTTTTAACAGTTGTCCAAGGTGTCTGTGTTGCAACTTGTTCAATGCGTGTTCAATGTGCCGCCGCGTCGGTAGGTTTCACTTCCATATAACATGGCGGGGAATATTATTCCTCGGTGCACTACAAGTTTCGTTTTTGTGCTCAAGTCATTATTGTAGAAAACCCTGTCTTTTAATTTCCAGAATGCTCTTGAGGCGCTGCTAATTCTGTGCTGAATTTCAGAGTCGAAATTAGTCTTTTCCGAAATCAAACTGCCGAAGTAATTGAATTCTGCTACATATTCCAATAGTTCTTCTCCGTTTTTTACAGCATTATTATGATTTTCCGGGGGAGTACACATGATTTTAGTTTTATTGATGCTCAGCTTATGGCCCAAAGCTTCGTATGCCCAGGTATATGTGTTCAGCAAAAGTAGTAAATCAGAATGTCAGTGGCGGAATATTTTATTGTGTTATATTTACCTTAGGTATTATAAAGTTCATGGTAGAAAATATACCGTTTAACCTGAACATTTCTGCTTAGTTAACAGTACATATTATAATTGCATATGTCAACAACAAAATTCTTTTATGCTCTATGTATTGATTTTTTGTTATATTTTACACCTTTTCCGTATATGCTTGGCAAGTTCAATGAATTGTTTGTTTTTGTACATTTTACTATAAAGCTATTTTATATTAATTTGGTGGAAAAGTTATACCGGGTGGTGCATCGTTGTCGTTGGAAACATAGGAAATCCCATGCAAATTTTGAACTGTCCATATACTGGCTCCCCTATCAATTTTACAGCTAAGTCGTAAATAGGGGTTTTAAAGGTCCGTCTATACTAAATACACATTTCAAATTTGAACAATTTTAAACAAGTCGATTATTAAATAATTTAAGAAAAACTGCATCTATTTTTATATTAAAACTGCAATAAACGGTAACAATGCAATGCTGACTCTATTTACAAATTCTGGTAGATATAACAGAAAAAAATTCACAGTATTATGCAAAAGAAAATCCTTATTTAATTAGAGAAACCAGACCACAGTAATACCGTATGATCGAAAAAAAATGGCGTCCAGTTGGCTTGGAAATGATGATCGATGACATTTCCCATATAATTTTACATATAAAATGACAGCGGTCTTCATTTCATAGCCATCGCTGACACCGTTTTTATTCGATCATACGGTATATTCTTTGAACGTCTGGGCTGGCATTCTTGACACTCGATGTCCCTGCATTGGAGTTCTGAGCCTGGATAAGTCTCAGCAGGTAAGTGGTGTCTTTCCCCTTGCTCCTTGGTAGAAAGAAGTACTGGTCGCCCTTTTTGGGATGTTTTCTCCCTTCACTGCAACCAGTCCCGGCCCTTATCAGTTCTTAAGCTTAGGTGCCATTTCCAACAACCAATCCGCTGATTTTTTAAATACACACTCTATGAGGAGCATGTTCACCCGAAAGTGTAGCCCCGCAAAACGCAGCTGGCCAGCTCGCTATTACTTCGTGCAGTATCGCCTCTTCTAGAGCCGTTTGCTGGTCAGTGGTCAGTGCAACCTCTGGGTAAACCTTTGGCAGCACCGTCATTTTCACTGGTTTAGCAAAAGCGGCAAAGCTGGTGATACGTCTCTACTTGCCTCCCGGTGGTGGACGGCTTTCCATCCTGGCTTTTTTCTCTCTTAGCCGGAGCAGAGGTAAGAGGTTCTCGCTCCCTCTCTTGCTCTTTGGTGGAAATACGTACAGGATGTTTCTTGGTTCCTACCCTCCCCTTTTTCGAGGAGTCTTTTTGCTTTTGCTTTCTCTGGAGAAAATCCTTCGTGGAGCAATCGGAGGTATCTCCGTACTTCTGCCCCGCTACGACCTACACACAACAGCGGTCCATAGCCAATTATCTACCGACTCAGCTTACCTACCGACTTAGCCAAGTCCAAATCGACTCTAGCTCACAAGGTATCTCATCAATAGTTCCAATGGATGTCTCAATGCGGATTTCCTTCAAACAGACAAAACAGCGACATAAAAGAGACTGTCGTTTTCAACTAAACAGCAACTAGAGTTTACAAAATAAGAAACATTTTGGAGATTTTGGTTCGTCGACGACTCTTCACCTACAACAATAGGTGCCGTCGCTAGGGAGAAAGATCAAAGCATGCATTTTTGGAAAAGTTAGAGTTACTTTGGTGGAAACGACTCCATTAGCCAGTGGGTTTGTCTGTATTTCGTGTGTGAATCTAATCAATTTCAAAAATTAGCAAGTTTAGTTTACAAATTCATTACTGGACATTTTTATAACATTGCGAAAGAAAGTTATAGTTCTCTATATATTTCTATGTGATTATTTATCGAGTCGGCCATTGTTTTACCAGTTTCAGAGTCTGATCGTAACTTTTAATGACCTCTGTCAATACCTTTATTTCTTCTTCCGAGTTTGCTTTATGAACTCATTACCTTGCTTTATTAAAAACCCACCCAACGTAATAAATACCGGGTGCGTCTCAAAAGTGGCTCACCCCTATAACTTTTTTATTTTTTCAGTTAAAAAAACGTGATTTGGTATGTTAGTATATGGCAAAAATTAGAATTGATTGACGTATTCAATTGTTTTCGATCACTTCCTGTTTCACCGGAAATGACTACAACTTTTGATTTTTAAATGGCACCCTCGGTATTTTTTTACTTTATTCGATAAAAAATAACACTCTGAATAGAATTACATATCACTTGTCAACTTTTGACATTTTCCCATATGGTTTATTTGAAATTATAACTTGCGGTACGTAACGAAAATTTTACTCGAAATACCAAGTGTGTGGTATCAAATTATTCGTAAAAAATGCCTTTTCCAAATATGCTAATGAGATATTGAGATATGATTAAAAATACGATTTGAGCATTTTCTAACTGGTCAGGATAAGACACTAAAAACATTAGACGATCCAATCTATTTTTCCAAGGCTCCTTGAATAAGAATTAGTGTTTTTAACATAGTTATGGCACTCTAGATTGAAATTTAAAATGAAAATTTTTATTAAACGAGAATGTCAAAAGTTGACATATGATATGTCATTCTATTCAGAATGTCATTTTCTATCGACTAAAGTAAAAAAATAGCGAGGGTACCATTTAAAAATCAAAAGTTGTAGTCATTTCCGGTGAAACAGGAAGTGGCCAAAAACAATTGAATACGTCAATCAATCCTGATTTATGTCATATGCTAACGTACCAAGTCTCGTTATTTTATCTGAAAAAATAAAAAAGTTATAGGGGTGAGCACCCGGTAATATCGTCAGTCTACCAGACTTGTAGAAACAACAGATAGATAATATTTTCCGATTAAAATACGCGGTTTCGGAAACTCGATTTCGAATTAGATGTCGAAACTGAAAACATGTTTTTGTTTTTGTAAACAAAACTAGTTGTACTTCATACCGTTTGATGGTGAGCTCTTAGTATTGGGAGAAAATTACTATGCAGTTTTTAGACTGTTGTATATGCACTATTGAAACTTGTATATGCCTCAAATAATATAATTAGAAAATGAATTAATTTAAACATAAATATGGAGAAAATACCCCAAAGATTTTTTAAATGTCTTGATTTTTACATAAATTTATATTTTTTTAATGTTTAATTAATTTGATATTCATAGCTTCAAACTAAATCATTTGCCAGTTGCCAGACTTATGTTAATTAGGTATATTATTTCTAGGTCACTACTTTGTCAACATATTTAGCAGATATTTGTGACTTGATGTAGGTATTTCGTATTTAACTAGAAACCTAAATTAAATTTAAAAGACTATTAATTAACACAGATAAAGCTCAACTAATGATACATAGTTTATTGAAATGTTGCCTTTCACTCAACGATATTTTTCATAAGCGGTTTTGGCAGTAATATACAGGGTCCGGCAATAGTGCGTCGAGCGTCTGTAGCTTCCAGAATAAAAAACATGGGAATGAGAATTTTGTTTAAGTGCAAACCTAAAGTATGTACGAGGATGTACTTCAGGAAAATATTTTAACTTCTACAGGATGGCTCAAAAAAAGTGCGAGTGGATGGGGATAATTTTTTTTAAATTGAACACCCTGTATATTATTGCATTTTTAGTTTTCTTTACGATTACTTTACATAATTCTAAGATATGAGTAAATATATTTCGATAATGTCAGAAATATTAATAAATAGGGTAAAACCGGTAGAGATGGCGCACAGTTTTTTAAATATCTATAAAAAATTAGGATTTTATTTTTTAATGGGTTTTACCTTTCTATATATTAATACTGAATAAAATAAAAGTCAAAATACCAAAATACAAAAATTTATTTTATTTTAATGTGCAAAAAATAAACATTTCTAAATAACAGAAAAAACCATCTCACCCATCCCTAAGGGGGTGAGATGGTGCATATCAAAACTTTAACGAAAACATTAAAACTCGTTTTTATTTAACAAAGAACAACTAAACTTTACTATTTTCTCGTCGGCCACACCTCAACCAGTAGTTTGAAAACTTCGTGCAACTTTCATGAAGCCATTTGTGGTAAGATACGCACTGCAACCACTCTTCTCGACTTGTAGTGTTTATGTAGGCTCTCTCCACAGCCAACGCACTCAGTTTCGTCATCGTTGTCATGAATATTGCTGTTTGAATCGCTTTGTAAGTAAATAGATATGTCGCTATCTGAAGAAGAATGATTGTAATCTCTGAATTGGTTTGTCTTCCCTTTATTGCTGCGTTGCTTTTTTGTAGTAGTGTTATCATTTTCCAAATATCTTTTTTTATTTTGCAAAAACAGTTTATGTCTTACTTTTTCTAGAGGTTCGTCACTATCAGAAGAAGAGCTACAATTTTCTATTTTTTCTTGTTGAGTTTTCTTAGATGTTTTTTTTAACTGTGTTTTTGTATCCTCCTTTCTTTTCTGGCAAGATTTAGTTTGGCTTTCTGTTAGTGTTTTTCTTTTAAGAATGTTTTCTGGCGATGTTAATATTTCAGCAAGCTGACGACTGCGTTTGCGTACCACATCCACTTTAGAAGTACTAGGAACTGGACAAATAATGTCCAACGTTTTTCCAGGAGTTTCTTTTTTCTTTTCAGGTGTTTTATTCATATTTTTGTTTCTATAGTTTTCATTATTTTCAAAGTCGCTAATAACTTCAAAATTTGTCAGATTCTCTAGGTTATTATGGGTAAAGCTACCTTCTTGAGGAACTATGCGCTCATCGGTTGTTTTGCTATTATTTTCTTTTTCAGTTTTATCATTTTTGACATGGCTACCATTTTCACTCTCGTTTAAAAAACCGTAGTCTGGAATAGCTTCTTTATTAAACGGTATAATACCGGTGGCACGAAAAGATGACGTGCCGTTATTTACCGTAGCTGATTTTGTCCACGCTTCCGCTAACCGTTTACCAAATTGTAGTCTATTTAGAGCTCTCGTGGGATTTGTTCTAATAAAATTATTGCACGCAGCATAGTAATAAGTTTTGAATGCTTTAAAGAATCCACGGTCTAAAGGTTGCAGGAATTGTGTTGTGTGGCTTGGAAGGCATAATAAAGTAATATCGTTTGCTTCAGCGTACTCTAGAACCTCTATTGAACTGCAATGCGACGCATGGCCATCTAAAATAAGAATAACGTGGCCTTGAGGCTTTCTAGGAACAAATTGTGTCTGTAATCATGTTAGAAAGATGGATGTATTAATGTATGCTGATTTTCGAGACATATAAACAACGGATCCAGGGGGCATCTCGTCTTCGTATTCTTTTTTTTTGTTTTTGCCCTTAAATATGCAAGCTGGTGGTATAAATGTCCCTTCTCCGTTACAACAACAGATTACAGTTATTGTTACACCTTTTTCACCGGATGTTATTGCAGCTATGTTCTTGGACCCTTTTTCAGCAATAACATGTTCAGGTCTATTATTCAGTTGAAGCCCGGTCTCGTCCATGTTAAATACATTGCCGGGCTTATCGAAGAGACTATGTTCTTCCAAAGTCTTTCCTAGCAAATCAAAATAGGCGTCCACATCTTTTTTGTTCATTCCCCGAGCACGAGCAAGAGATACACCTTCTGACTTTTTTACAGATAAGTCGGAATTCCGCCGCAAAAATGATCTAAGCCAATCATCTCCGGCCAATTTACTTTCTTTATTGAAGGTATGTTTAATTTGAAGCTTTTCAGCAAGGTGGTATGCCATATGACAAACAATTTTCCTCGTTGGGGAGAACCCTCGTTTTTGTAATTTTTTAATATGAAATACTATTTTCCTCTCATTTTCTAATCCTAGAACAGATGGCGGGCCCAGACCTTTCTTTTTAGTATCACCTCTGACCAGTCTTCTACGAAGTGTCGTGCAAGGAACCTTAAATTCCCTGGATGCCTGATTCACTCCCATATTTCCTGACCGCACAGCCAGCATTGCCATTTTTAACATTTCTTCGGTCCATGCTGCCCTGGAACAATTTCCTTTTCGTCTATAGTTAGTTGGCATCTAAAAAAGAAAAACAGATTTCAGGTAAGTATTTTGGCAAAATTGGGTGAGATGGCGCGAAACTCGTAGGGTGAGATGGCGTGCGCCATCTAACCCAACTGTGTTGAGTAAGATGGCTTAGTCACGTGCTCTCCAACAAATAACTTGTCCGTAATTTTGAGGTTAGAAAGCAATAAATGCCTTTATTTCAAAGCGATAATTTTACAACTAGTAAAAACTTTAGCCAGTTTCACCTCTATATAATTAAATAACTTATTGTCTAGAAAAAAACGCGGTATGGTAATATATAAAATTAATAATTTACTTACCTTTACTCCGAATGATCAACGCGAGATAAACGGGACATGTTATTTCAGACAAATGAAGGTTGTTAGCGATGGCGACGTTGCCGGTTTACATTTCGTTAAGGAAATATTGCACTGCGCCATCTAACCCGCTGCGCCATCTCTACCGGTTTTACCCTAAATAAAAAATATATATTTTCAACCCTCCTTAAAAAAATTGTTACAAATACAAGAACTGTCCTGAAATCAAACCTATATTAGGTATTTACTTTTAGATGGTCTGTAATTACTTTGCTATAAATATCGTAATGCTAAATCATATAGGGTATTCAAAATTCTCTGCCAAACTTTCTAAAATATAAAATAATTGATCAATTTTTTATATGGAACACCCTGTATATTATTTTTTTTATTAAATGGAGGGTTAAAACTCTTCTGACGCTGTAACGTTTTTGCAATTAGAGCGCAGTCATCAGCGTATTGAAGTTCTGTGATGAATATTATACGTGTTTTTATTTTTTATACGTATTTTGTGAGTCTAAGAATAAGCCCGTATTTATACGTATTTTGTGAGTATTTTTTATGTAGAACAGACCGCTATAATACCTGTAGCACCTGTAGCCTGTAGCTAACACTCATTCCTCTTTCCTGCAGTTTGCTGTCCACTATAATAGAGAGTGCTGCCATGAATATGTTGAATAGGAGAGGAGCTAAGACACATCCCTGCCTAACCCCTGTATTTGTCTTTGTCAGGAAGAATGTATTGCCGATTTGCTAGCCCGAAAATAATTTTCTTTTGGGTGTGGTTAAGTTAATTTTTTTCCAAGGCTATGCTACACCCATTACATTGGAATACGTGCTGCCACTGCCTTTATATATTCACAAAATTGCCCTGCAAATAGAATTTCCAGAAGTGGGAATGGGTACGACTTTATTTTTGTAGTAAGTAAGTAAGTTTAAAAATCAAGCTAGAAATTAATGATTATTAAAAACGAATTTTAGACTGTGCTTGACTTTTATTATTATTTTATTACTGTATTACTGTGAGTACATGTAAATCTTTTCTAATTATATTTTTTATTGAATGCTTCTGGCGTATGTGAAATAAATAATAAAATAATTATAATGTATTAATTATTAATTGGGGTAAAATTAAAATTAAAATCATTTGTTATAAGGATATATTAATATAAGTAGTTTTATATTAGACTGCGCAACATTTTAAAGCAAATTTGCATTCAGCTGTTTATTAGCAGAACCTGTAATACATAGAAGGACGCAGGCTATTGACCTAGGTTTTTCAGTTTGAAAATAATACCGATAATAAATATTCGGTTTCCGTTAAAGCTTCTACCATTATTCAGTTGTAACCATAATAATGTAAGATTAAAGTTTTGAATTTATAGAGTGAATAAACTATTGAACCAAGTCGATTTAAATGGATTGTACTGAAATTTGTTGAAAAAATAAGGGGCATTTATATAATGCAGTTATAGTTGGCTGTAAGGCAATAAGTGCCTCAGTGGCTCTTTATGGAACTTTTATTGCAACTTAATGGAAATTTCATAAAAAAATAGAATGCAGCTGAGTGTAATGGGTATTATGCTTCTTCATTAGCATTAGTTGATAAAATAATTGGAAAACGTAGGTATAAGTTTGCGATTTCTGAAAATTCGACTTTTCAAGTGAAGAAAGATACGCCAAAATATTTTTCAATACCGTTGATATAGAGTTATCCCGTGGTTTAAAAAAAAATAAGAATGTCAATTATAAACTTGTGAATAACGCTATTAATAAATTGCAGCAATTATTAGGTAATCCTAAAGATAAAACACTTCCACTGGAAAGGTCGGGTATTTATTAAATTTCATGTAAAGATTGTAATCAAAAATATGTTGGGCAAACTAGGAGATCAATATTAACTAGATTTACAGAACATATAGCTCAGATAAGATATGATAGACCGGATAAATCTTGCGTTGCTGAACATATTGTTGATACAGCACATTGTATAGATATTTATAAGTTAAAATTAATTAAACAAGTCTCAAATTACAGGCAATTAGATGCATATGAGAGCATCAGAATTAATAAATGTAAAGATAGTATGAACTAGACTGCTCTAGTTTCTTGCCACGCCTACTTGGAGCCAATTGAAAGAGTATATAAACGCTCAATTTGTATGTATTAGTTTAGTTTTTATCATCTGCTGATGATACTAACATGGTTAGCGAAAGGCGCGTCCCATAAAAGTTGAAATATTAGCACTACTAGTATATCTGTATATAAAAAACCCACACATACGGGACAGTATTCTCAGTTGAACTATTCTGAAGCAACCAAAAGAGGTATAGACAGTAGTGACTAAGAATCTCTTGATTCTGAACTAAACAATTTTAAAACAAACATTTGCTTCAGAATGGTTACTTGACAAGATTATATCCAATTGCAAAACCGACTCATTGGTGCTCCAACCTGAGGAGGATCCTCTATTTCTCTTGACGATCCTATATTTGAAAGGAACATCAGAAAACATTGTAATGTTTTTTTAATAAAGCGATAACATACAGCCTACCGGATTAGTTCTTACTAATTTCGGATACTCTGTTGATCGTACTTGCCATTGTCGGCGCAGAACTAGAGCATCTTTTTGACTATCGGAAGTCACCATTTTTGATTCAGATTTCGTGGCTTAAACATCAATTATACTTATCTGAAGTCATCCGAAAAAGTTTCAACATTTTTATAATTTTAAATATTGGAATGTAGTCCTAATGGTTCCTGGCATTTGGGGAAGGAATCAATATTAAGTTTTCATGGGTATTTTTGTGGTAAGTTTGATCTTCATCACATTTTTATTCTTTTGGTTCAACCTTATCTCTTTACAGATTTTCTAAACGTGGTTTTGGTTGTCCTGTCAACAATTTAATTTTTGAGTAAACCCTCAGCATCATGAGGATTTTACCGTCCAGTTACATGGCGAGTAATATGTCGTGATTGGTGGTTTGAGGTACGAGAGCCTGTATCTATGATCCATGTTTGATTTCCACATGGCTGGTGGTATTGTAAGGGGCTGTTCGAGGCTGTGGTAGATTGGGGATCCCACCCCTAACGTCCACATACCATCCAGAAGGACGAGCGAAAGCCTAGAATTGCACCGGATAATCAGGCCAGATTTCATACATATTTATTTTTATTAACTCATTTCAAACCTATTTACTTACTGTTGATAAATTGCATAATTAATTATGTAATTATTAGATATTTTTTAATTTCATTATTAAAATATATTTTTCTTAATTTTAAATATACAATTTTTTATATATATATATATATATATATATATATATATATATATATATATATATATATATATATATATATATATATATATATATATATATATATATATATATATATATATATATATATATATATATATATATATATATATATATATATATATATATTAATATCTTGTCAAATATTTTGTGATGGTGTCACTTGACATATTTATTTAATTAACTTTTATAATAATAAATTAACATACAACAAGGTTCATGAACTGCGTTAGTTTGAGGTACTTATTTAATTTTATTTGGCGTAATTTAATATTAATATGTCACTGATTTTTGATCAACAAAACAAGTGATACTATTTTTTTTTGTCATACATTTAAATTTGGATTACTTATTATTCTTAAGTATTAATTCATTTTAAAAACCTAGAATGTAGAATGTTTAGGATGGGAGTTAATCACCGCGAGCTTATAGATCTCTATTGTGTGTTCCCGTTTCTTGAGTTATAACGAGTTATAACTCATCATACAGTCTCAGGGCTTTAACAAAAGCCAGTACTTCATCCATCAATTACTCTCCTTGTCTGTTTTTAAAAACCTAACTTCATCCATCAATTACTGTCCTTGTCTAATTTTTTTTTTAATTATAAATAAATTTAAGTTGGAGTAAAGAGATCTATTAATTTCTGAGTGAAGGTCCTGGCGCCCAATAATTATTGTTTTATTGATTAATTATAACACCTAATAAAAAAATAAATAACGAACCTACGACTGCTCGCAAAGACGAAAAGCTGCCGTTTGCATTGTGTCAAGAAAACGTTACAACATCAGGCGAATTGCCAAGCAGTATAAGATTAAAACTACTCTAATCGTACTCTACTTTTAACCAACAACCCAACGACACAATAAAAACAAAAAAAAAATGATCGAGTTTATAATGTTTATTAATAAGTTTGAGACAATGACGTAGTTTCATATGTAGAATTTGAGACTTTAATACATATTTTATTAAAAAAATTAAATTATTTAAACATATGATATAATGATTCGGCTAGAGAACATTTCATTTATCGCTACTATCCGATTGTATCTTACTAAATTGGGGTTTCTCAACATCCTTTTAGCCCATCGTATCTGAAAACTGCAGGATGCTGCGGTGTTGTGAGGTTACCATGGCAGAAACGCATTTGTATGGACTCACGCATTAAAAGGTTGCTTTCTTATTATTTCCGGTTGACCGATATGGTGAGAAGTAAGTCAAGTAAATGCGATTTTTATCTTTATATGACAGAATTATAAATCATTGGATCGAAGAATTATAAAGCATAAAAGTGGGAAAGTTGCTTCTTAGATAAAGTTTATTGAAATGTTTAGATATACTTCAGGAAGGTTTAAGCATTCACTTTTGAATTTGAGCTCTCTGTACCAATTTAAAACAAGCATTTCATAACATCACTTTCCTGTTCTTAACTGCAAACTCTCAGTGTATAGGCCTGAAACAGAAGAAAAATAATTAATTATTAAATGTTTTAATATTTTTAACACATACTTACTAAGCTAAAATTGAAAATTACATTGCTTTTTTTACACCAGTGTCAAATGTAAAATGACATTTTAGTCACCGAAGTAGAGATATAAAAGCTTTACTTTTCATTACGTTTGTAGAAAAAAAATACTTTTTGATATTATACGAAAATTCCAATTTGTTTCGAGGACACCTGATGGTATGTGTTACACTGAGACACACCTAGACAGTTTTTA